TAGCTATCAACATTTTAAATGTAAATGACCTAAATGTTCCATCAAAAGGCATACGGTGGCAGAATAGAGAAAAAAAAAAAAAAAACCACGACCCCTCTAAATGCTTCCTACAAGAGACTCCCTTCAAACCTAAAGAAACATATAGACTGCATGTGAAAGGACAGATAAAAATATCCTATACAAATGAAAGTGGAAAAAAGGGTACTAATATTAGATGAAACAGACTTTAAACAAAGACTGTAACAAGAGACGAAGAGGGCATTACATAATGATAAAGGGGTCAATCCATCAAGAAGGTAAAACAATTGTAAATATTTATGCACCCAACACTGGAGCACCTAAATACAGAAAGTAAGTATAAATGATATAAAGAAACTGACAAAATAATACAATAATACTAAGGGACTTTGAAACCCACTTACATCAATGGATACATGATCCAGGCAGAAAATCAACAAGGAAACCATGTTTTTGAATGATACATTAGACCAGATATATACAGAAATAAATGTATGTATAGATACAGAAATTCTATCCAAAAACAAAATACATACTCTTTTCAAATGCACATGGGACATTCTCCAGGAGAGATCACATGTTAGGCCACAAAACAAGTCTCAATAATTTTAAGAAGACTGGAATCATATCATGCATTTTTTCTGACCATGATGGTATAAAACTATAAATCGGTAACAAGAAAAAAACTGAAAAAAAAAAATCACATGGAGGCCAAACAACATGGTACTAAACAACCAATGGATCAATAAAAAAATCCAAGAAGAAATTAAAAAATACATGGAGACAAATGAAAATGAAAACACAAAGGGCCAAAATCTTTGATATGCAGCAAAAGCAGTTTCCCAGCAAAAGCAGGGAAATTTATGATACAGACCTACCTCAAGAAACGAAAATCTCAAACAACCTAACATTACACCTATAGGAACTAGAAAAAGAACAAAGAAAACCCAAATTTAGTAGAAGCACATAATAAAGATCACCTCAGAAATTAATGAAAAGACTAAAAAAAAAAAAGGAAAAAAGTCAATGAAACCAAGAGCAGGTTCTTTGAGAAGATAGATAAAATTGATAAACTTTTAGTCAAACTCATCAAGAAAGAAAGAGAAGTAACAACTACAGAAATACAAAGGATTGTAAGAGACTACTACAAAAAATTATATGCTGACAAATTGGACAACCTATAAGAAAAGGATAAATTCTTAGAAATATATCTAAAACTGAATCAGGAAGAAACAGAAAATCTGAACAGATCAATTACTAGTAACAATGGAATTGGTAATCAACTCCCAACAAACCAAAAGTCCAGTACCAAATGGCTTCACAGGTGAATTCTACCAAACATTTAAAAAATATCTATTCTGAATCAACTGTATTAACCTATTACAAAAACAGGAGAGGAAGGAAAGCTTCCAGATACATTCTACAAGGTCAGCATTATCTTCCTACCCAAACCAAAGTCCCTACAAAAAAAACCCTATAGGCCAACATCTCTGATGAACTTAGATGCAAAAATCAACAAAATATTAGCAAACCATATTCAACAATACATTAAAAAGATCATTCACCATGGTCACGTGGGATCCATTCCAGGGATCCAAAGGTGGTTCAATATTCACAAATCAATTCACAAATCAATAAATACATCCCATTAACAAAATGAAAGATAAAAACCATATTACCATCTCCAAAGATGCAGCAAAAGCATTTGACAAAATTCAACATCTGTTCATGATGAAAACCTTCAAAGTAGGCTTAGAGGGAACATATCTCAACATAATAAAGGCCACATATGAAAAACCCACAGCTAACATCATACTCAATGGGGAGAAACTTTTTCCGTAAGATCAGGATATCCTCTCTCACTACCTTTATTCAAAATAGTACTGCAAGCACTAGCGACAGCAATCAGACAAGTAAAAGGAATAAAAGGCATGCAAATTGGTAAGGAAAAAGTTAAACTGTCATTATTTGTACAATGTGTTTCTATACACAGAAAATCCTAAAGACTCCACCGAAAAATTACCAGAAGTAATAAAGCCGCAGAATACAAAATTAGTACACATAAATTGGTTGCAATTCTCTACAATAATAATGAAGTAGCAGAAAAAGAAATGAAGAAAACAATCCCATTTACATTTGCACCAAAAATAATAAAATACCTAGGAATAAACTTAATGAAGATGAAGATATGTACTCTGAAAACTACGAGACACTGATGAAAGAAATTGAAGATGACACAAACAAATGGAAAGATTTTCCAAGCTCATGAATTGGACGAATTAGCATCCTTAAAATGTTCACACTACCCAAAGCAATCGACAGGTTCCATAAAATCCCTATCAACGTACCAAGAGCATTTTTCACAGAGAGAGTACAACCAATCCTAAAATTTGGTGGAGCCAGAAAAGACCCCGAATAGCCAGAGGAACATTGAAAAAGAAAAGCAAAGCTGGTGGCATCACAATTCCGGACTTCAAGCTCTATCACAAAGCTGTCATCATCAAGACAGTATGGCACAAAAACAGATCGATGGAACAGAACTGAGAAACCCACACTCACATAGTCAATTAATCTGTGACAAAGGAGGCAAGAATACACAATTGGGAGAAGACAGTCTCTTCAATCCATGGTGCTGAGAAAACTGGAGAGCTATATGAAAAATAATGAAACTGGACTGCTTTCTTGCACCACATACAAAAAATAAACTCAAAATGGATTAAAGACCTAAATTTGAGACCCGAAACCATAAAACTCCATAAAAAAAACACAGGCAGTAATCTCTTTGATATTGGTTTTACCAACGTATTTCTAGCCATGTCTTCTGTGGCAAGCGAAACCAAAGCAAAAATAACCCTACTAAAACTAGACTAAAATAAAAAGCTTCTGCACAGTGAAGGAAACCCTCAATACAACAACAAAAAAACCCCAACCAACTGAATGGGAGTTGATTTTCACAAATGATCTATTTGATAAGGGTTTAATATCCAAAAATATATAAAGAACTTATACAACTCAACACTAAAAACACAGATCATCTGAATAAAAACGGACAGAGGACCTGAATAGACATCTTCCCAAAGAAGACATATAGGTGGCCAATGGGTACATAAAAAAGATGTTCAACATCACTAATCATCAGGGAAATGCAAATTAAAACCACATGGAGGTATCACCTGACGCCTGTCAGAATGGATAAAAAAAAACAGGTGTTGGTGAGGATGTGGAGAAAAAGGAACCCTCGTGCACTGTTGGCAGGTCTACAGACCGATGTAGCCACTGTGGAAACGGTTGAGAAATTCCTCAAAAAATTAAAAATAGATTTACCATATGATCCAGTAATTCTACTACCCAGCCAAAATGAACACATTAATGTGAAAAGATATATGCACCCCTGTGCATATAGTTACAGTATTATTTCCAATAGCCAAGATACAGAAGCAACCTAAGTGTCCATCAACAGATGATACGGAAGATGTGGTATATGTACATATATGTGGATGTACACACACACACACAGGAATGTTACATAGCCATAAAGAAGAGATCATGCCCCAAGACAACATGGATGGACCTACCTAGAGACTATAATGCTAAGTGAAATAAATGAGAGGACAAATACCGTATGATTTCACTTACTTGGAATCTAAAAAACAAAACAAATGAATAAACAGACCCCTAAATGCCAAAAATGGATAGCTGCCAAAGGGGAAGGGTTGGGGAGATGGGCGAAATGAGGGAAGGAGAGTGGGAGGTACGGGCTTCCGGCTGTGGGATGAATCCAGTCCAGGGGTGATACAGGTACAGCACAGGGAACCGAGTCACTGATACCGTGTGGTGACAGATGGAAGCCACCCTTGTGGTGGGCACAACAGAACACATGGACTTGTTGAATCACTACGTTGTATACCTGCAACTAATGTAACTCTGTGGGTCAGCTACATTTCAATTAAAGAAAAGGGCCAAGAGAGTAAATATTTTAGGTTTTGTGGGCCATTCAGTGGGTCACAACTTCTCCCCTGTGTGTTAAAGCATACGGTCAGTGTGTAAATGAATAGGTGTGTCTGTTTCAATAAAATTTTATAAAAACAGGGAGCAAGCCATAGTTTGCCACTCCTAATCTAGACTCCAGTCCCTATGGGTGGATGTACGTGTCATCTCCTGCCTTCTGGAACAGTGGCTGCGACTCGCTTGTGTCAGAGTGGCCTGGTGGGGGTCTATTTTGTTACCAGCCAACAAGTATTTCTCAGAGTGGTTGTGTGTCCTATCCAGTCACTGAGGATTTCACAGTCCAGTTGGGTAGACAAGATGTGTTGATAAGGAGTTTTTATATGAAGTAAATAATGCAAAGGCGTCTGAGTGCTGATGCAGGTGCTATGGATTCTAAGTGCTACAGGGAGAGTATAAGGGTCGGGGCTGTCCCGAAGGACGACAGGGCTGTATCAGGCCATGCAGCACCCTCCCCAAAATAAATATTTCCTAGCACTCACCATGTATCCAGCACCATGTGAAAATGTCATACATGGGTCTGTTGTAGCCTATAAAACAATCGCGTGAGTTTGGTCCCAAAGTCCTGAGAAAATAAGTGACTTGATGATAGTTTTGCAGACGCAAAGTATCAAAACTGGGATGTGATTTCAGAGCATGGGCTCTTGACACAAAACCGTGTTCTCTGTCCCTACAGAGGCAAGAGCAGCGTGTGAATAAAAGAGGGAACTATAATGGCTGATACACCACTGTTCAAAGCTGTGGGGCTGGTCCCTCCTCTGATACATGCATTTTCAAACACGTAAGTTATTTTCCTTTGCTGTCACTTACAGCATTGTCAGGGGAGTGAAACATTTCAGGTCGTTCAAGAGCAGGGCGGACAGTCATTGGTACTTCATCAATCACACAGGCAGGCTTCGCAGGCAGAGGGGGCAATGACAGGCTGCACTGCCAAACGTATCCCTGGCTACTGGGCTGGCTGAACAGTGCTGACTTACCATCATACTCTGGGAAGTAGTCAACTAGGTGGGAATACATAATTTTCTCCTCTAGAAGATCTTTCTTGTTTAAGAATAGGATAACCGAGGAGTTCTGGAACCAGGGATATGTGATAATTGTTCTAAAGAGTGCTTTGCTTTCCTCCATTCGGTTCTGGAAAAAAAAAAATCAGAGAAACAAGGCATGAATTACATGATTACTCCATCTGTGTATTGTTTGTTTTGGAAGTGCAACCCATCTTCTGCAGGCTTTCCAATAGTAGTTGCTTTTATCAGGGTTACATGCAACGGGTTCGTGACACCCAACGGCTCTTTCATTAAGTAAGCTCTCAGCCTGATGAGCAGGTGACCAGCTCTCCTTCCCACAAACACCCTCACGGCTAGGTCCTTCCCACCCCCAGGTCAAGAAAAGGCAGCAGGTTTGGGAGAGTCCTCCTTTGCCTGGGGATACAAAAGCGTGGGTGCACGGGGACACATCTTCCTGGCCACACAGATGATACTTTCCAGCCCCCTGATTGAGGGCTACGTGTGATGACCAAGATTCCAGCAGTGAAAAACACCTGCCTGGGATTCAGCGCACCTCCACTGCTCCCTGGGGGGAGCCTGATGGTTTAAGCTACCGCATCCTATTCCCATGGCACCTGGCTTGGTTCAGGGCAGGGCTCCACATCCAGGCCCCACCATCACTTGGAACAACTCATCTCTGGTTTATGGTCATCAGTTTAGCCAAGCAGCTCACCTGGTCCCACCAACCCCAGGACTTGTGCTGGGAATTCTGGAAGAGAGAACCTTGATTTCATGCAGAATGCGGATGAGGACTCATGTAGCCTAGGACTTCTGGCAACAGTCTTGAGACAGAAAAACCAGGCCCTGCTCGCCTGCTTTTAACTACTTGGTCAAACTATGCGTGAACTTGGTTCTGCTCCTGGATTTTCAGCAACATCAGGCAATAAGTATCCTTTAGTTTTGACGTTAGTTTGAGCTGTGTCTTTCTGCTTGTTACATAAAATACTTGCAATGGATATATCTGGATATATCTCCCCTCCCGAACTTCTATAAAGGAAATGAATGAATAAATGATATTTCAGGGATGACCACGAACACTAGGAACTCAAGCTGTTAATGTTTTCCACTCAGAGTCTGCCTTCTTGATACAGAAGGTTCCCTACGTTTCATAGCACAGGGTTACGAAGGCCAAGCGCACTCTCCTGCATAACCCTTTGACTGCAGTTCCAGGAAATCTCCAGGAAACTCCATTCACCAAGGAAAATTTTCTAGGTCCTAAATGTGTCTTATTCTTTCTTTCTGTAACGTGTGCCAATTCAAATCAGGCTGACGAGACCCACTTTGCAAAAAGAGATCTCTCCCACATCTTGTAAAGCGGACGATCACCAATGTCTTCAACCTTTAAAACTTCCTGCCTGTAACTGCTTAGATATTTAAAAAGTAATGCGCTGTGGGAGTCAAACAGGGAAAGGTGACTTCATGGCTCAAGGGACAATGTTTATTTCACTGCATACATTTCTAATATAAATGACATGCATGGCTTTAAAAATATCTGTCTGTATGCTGCTTACTGGTTATCATCACCAGTGGTAACATTTTAACCCCCAGAAACAATATTTGTTAAGAAGTCATGTCTCAGACCTTACGATGTTATAAGTTGAAAATTTCAGGACTGAGGAACAGCAAAGGCCCTAATAAGAACTGAAAGCATTTTAAAAGAATCTAAAGAAGGTTAAATTAAATAGTGACATCCCTGATGGGAGAGTTAACATTTTTTCTTATGGCTAAAGAAATTCTAGAAAGGCATACCATGGTCTTCAAAGAAGACCTGTTTAAAAGGTGGGTATGGACAGACTATGAACCAGTGAGTCTCCGTTAGAAACAGTTATTATACTTCGCATTCTCCAGAAGGGATGTGATGGGACCCCCCAGGGACAGGGTTCTCTTTGGGATTTTTCTGGCTGGAGTCCTTCAAAGGTACGGGACTAGACCCTGAGAGGAGACAGGAAAAGGGAGAGTGGTGCTGAGTTCATAGAAAAGGAGGCTCCCGAGATCTAAGTATTTCAAGACTGGACTGGATGGAACTCCCAGGCTCCAGGTGGAGTCGGCTGGGAGGGACCTTGTACCCGCCTGCAGGACGGTGGCCAGGAGAGTGGACTGAGCCCAGCACCATGCTCCAGGGATGACTTGCCCAGCTGGTTGTGCCTCTGCACCCAGGGCGGCTGCGCTCAGGGCCACTCTGGAAGCAGGACCGCTGACTGGACTGGTCCCATTGAAGCTTTGCCTGTGCGTGCCACTGGGGGCCGCTCTTTGCTATTTACCATTTACCATAGCGTGCATGCGTGCGTGCAGGTATACATACGTACACGTACGTATGTACGTGTGTACCGGAACTGGGGCTTCTGATTCCGGGACAAGCTGGAGAGCAACCTAGTGGGCAGCTACCAGCAGGGTTCGTATCACTGTACCTTTGACTAGGTCTGCAAGCTCCATCTCAGCCTGGGCCCCGGGAACTGTGTTTTCACTAGCCCTCCGGGTGATCCATCTGCAGGCTCAACTTTGTGAAGCACGGGGCTCCAGAAGGGCTCCTCCAACTTGGTCATAACACTAACCGGGGGACCTTGTTAAGACGTGGATTTGGATTCAGCGGGGGGTGGGGCCCGAGAGTCTGCATTTCTAGCGAGCCCGCAGGCGGGGCTGCTGTGGCTGCACAGGGCACACTCGGAGTTGGAAGGTGCAGAAAGGTCGCTGAGGCAGGACAAGGACAGACTCCGTTTTTGCAGTAAGAAGTGCAGGTCCTGTGATGAAAACCTAAACATGCCTCCCTCATTCTTTTTATTTTGCCCAAATAAGATCCTGACTTCCTGCTCTGAGTATTTACTCCACAGTGAAGATTCCTTATGGGCCATTCATCCCTCCCCCCGCCCCCCCCGTCCACCCCGTGCCATGGGGGCATATTTATAAACCCGTAGGCTACACATCAAAGCCCCTGGATTAAAGCCTAAATGAACGAAATGAGATTTTTCACGACCCCTCACAAGGTGGTGGAGCATGAGGCACAATCCACTTTGCTCAGGAAAATTGCAATCAGTGAGGGAACAACATGCCCTAGGAGGCTTGGTGGCACTTGCTTTTTAGGAACTTGCCAGGGCATGGGATTTCAAGGAGGAAACAAAACAGCGGTGCAGGAGACACGTGGAAGACTGATGAGGAGAAACAAGGAGGTTCTGTTCACCTCTCTAGACAGGTTTAAAGGCAGTCGTGGGGGGGGGGGGTGCTCATCACACCCACCTTCTCTTGGGGTTTGAAGCAGCTGTGTCAAAAATGATACTAGTGGGGCGCCTGGGTGGCTCAGATGGTTAAGCGTCTGCCTTCGGCTCAGGTCATGATCCCAGGGTCCTGGGATCGAGTCCTGCATCGGGCTCCCTGCTCCTTGGGAGCCTGCTTCTCCCTCTGCTTCTCTCTCTCTCTCTCTCTCCCTCTGTCTCTAATGAATAAATAAATAAAATCTTAAAAAAAAAAAACAAAGATACTAGTAAAGGTTTTACTACCCCAGACACAGCTCCTCATGAATGAGGTGGGCCTGGCCTCTGTCGAAGATGGAAAAAGACTCCTGACTTCTTGTCACGCCCACCTACTTCTCCCAAACTGAAAGCAAGTGTCTTTCCCAATGAAGGGTGACCTGATAGAGGTGACAAAGCTGGGACAGAGGAAGCAAAGAGAGATGGGGCTGCCAGGTCCTGCCTGGCCTCCGCAGCCCCACAGGGACAGGAAGAGGACTGAGGATAGGCCACGAGGGAGCTCGGTGGCCGCTGGGTCTCGTGCAGTCACCCTGCCTGAAGTAAATGTGGCCACAGAAATGTCAGCCTTGCCTAGACCACACTTGACATAGGCTGAATGTGTTTCTCCAGAATTCGTGTTGAAACCCTAACCCCTGATGTGATGGGTTTAGGAGGTGGGACCTTCAGGAGTTGATTAGGTCGTAAGAATAGAACCCTCGAGAATGGGATTAGTGCCCTTAGAAAAGTAAAACCCTGGGACGCCTGGGTGGCTCAGCTGGTTAAGTATCTGCCTTTGGCTCAGATCATGATCCCAGGGTCCTGGGATCGAGTCGGCGTTGGGGGGGGGGTCCCTGCTCAGCGGGGAGCCTGCTTCTCCCTCTGCCTCTGCCCCTCCCCCTGCTTGTGCTCGCTCACCTTCTTGCTCTGACAAATAAAATCTTAAAAAAAAAAAATTAAAATCCTAAGTCCCGATGTGATGATGTTAGGAGGTGGGGCCCACAGGAGGTGACTAGGATCAGTGCCCCTGTAAGATGCCAGGCAGCTCCCTCACCCCCTCTTGCCGTGTGAGGACACAGAGAGAAGCCAGTCCTCTAATAACCAGGAAGGAGGCCCTCACCACACATCGAAACTGCTCACGCCTTGATCTTGGACTTCCCAGCCTCCAGAACTGTGAGAAATGTTTTGTGTTTATAAGCCATCCACCTGGGGTGTTTTGTTACAGGAGCCCAAAAGGACTAAGACGACGCTGATCAGGTGAGTTACTCCTCCCGGAAGCTGGCACCGATCCAGGGATCACACCCTAAACTGAAAAGCATTCACCCCTACCCAGGGCCTTGGGAGAAGGACCAGCTCCCTCCTCCCCACTTTGTAATCACAGGCAGAACGCTGTGACCACGGAGTGTCCTCCCCTGTTCAAACCATCAGTGAGGCCTCTTACACACCCCATCTTCAAATATTTTAGACGGATACTCAAGATCCCCAATCTCCAGCAAACACTGCTGTTTTGTGCAATCCCCCCGCTGACCCACAACTCCCACGGCCTCTGGGGAAAGACCCCGAGGTCCTCATTTGGGCATTCACCACTCAGCACAGCCTGACCCCAACGCACAGCTTCAGACTGAACTCCTACGCAAACGTTCTCTTCTCCACAAAAACAGGCTCCGTTTCACTGCTGTCACAGGCTGGCTGCACGTTCCTGACCTGTGGCCATTAACGCAATCCTCACTCCAAATCCTTCAAAGCCCGGATCAACAGGACTTCCCCAAGAAATCCTTCCCCGAGCCTCCCTTGGACTGCCTCGTGCCTGCCTCCCACTCCCCCGCCCCCCGACCCCCACTTCGCACACACTGTCCTGTTCCCTGTGCCA